TATTCAGAATGCTATTATGCGTAGTAAAGTAACTGGCAGAAACTTGTACATTCGTTAATTTTCGGCTAATGGGCGGAGCTTCGAGTATCCTCGGACAGCGTCGGCTAATCTCGGACAGCGTCGGCTACTCTCGGGCAGCGTCGGCTAATCTCGGGCATCATCGGCTATTCTCGGCAGCGATCGTTGCGCCACGAGTCATTAGGAATAATAAAAGAACACTCTTTTCACAATTTAGCTGATTTTTTTTTAAAATCAATTTTCCTTAATTTTATTAGTGAAATTGTTTCTTCTTCCTATTGTTTCCTCGACTTAATTTGAATCAATTTTCCTGGATATTGCATAGAGGCGTGAATTTTTATGAACATTTAAAATCGCTTCTGGTTACCTCACGTGCTTATGCAGATTTTCATATTTTCAATTAATGGTTCTCCCTGGTGGGAAACTGAAAAACAGCACAGTCAGCCTCGGTTTTAATTTCCTTGTATCTCTGTTTCCCATCAACTATAGTCATTAACAGCCACTGCGTGTTCTTGAATATCTACCGAATCATATTTCGTTGTAAATTCATTTTAATCTTGGTAAAAAATTTAGATTGGTACAATTAATAGAAAATGAATTCTTAATAAAATTTTTAACATTTATAATAGCAATTTCACGGGTTTAATAATTTATTGTTCGAGGCAATTATCGTGGTTGTTAATTCTCCGTAAAGTAACGTAATATAACATTGGGATTCGTACTGTTACCGGCCCCTGGTAATTCGTCCTGTTCGCCTAATGGGTGATTCACATTGTTGTTAATTAATGAAACCAATATTAGGTGCTTCACTATTAACGCTGATTACTAGACCGTGGATGTTTATGCACCTGTGACGTATCAAAATAATGCGAGTTTACGTAAACGTTGTATGTTATGTATTTTGGAAAATAAGATGAAATGTGCAAATATTTGAATGATACTGTTAATATGGATTGTAACGGTTTGTTAAATTAACGGTTCGATAGGAGAGCAGATGAAAATTTAGCCTTCTGTCCTTGGAGATTAAGTTACCCGGAACTTTTAATGGAGGCCAGGAATAATCGTTGGGATTTTGCTTTTCAATTTGCTTCGGGGCGTCGAAACACAGAGGCCGGAAACTCATGTTTATTTAATTTACGTGCCGCAAACAATGACGATCCGCCTCGGCGAAATCAATTTTCCGCCCATTACCGGGATCCAGTGGAAATTTATTCGGGAAATTTGGGAGAATCCGGAAAAACTAATGGATTCTCTTGAATATTTCATTTGTCATCGTTGCACAATTATTATAAAAATAAAAATAATAACACAGAATCTATTTTACATTTTTAATGATGAAATGGTTTTCTACAAAAATCTATTGTTGATTGGAGGAATAATTTAAAAAATAGATGAATTTTGTCACTTTGTCAATTTTAATTGTCATTTAAAATAATTTTCGCCGAATGTTGGATGAGGAGGGATGGCCCTGAAAACTAGCAACCCTCGACTCCTGGTAGTCGGCTGTGCCCGAGTCATTACCAAGGCACAATGCACGATAATCCGATCTTCATGAAGGAAACGCGATATATTCCCGTTCCTTTCCCCGGAACAAATCCCGCGGATAAGATTGAAAAACGGATTACTCGAAGGTCATTCGAACAGCAGCTGAAAGGATCGACAGCCGCAGCCCGTGTACGGAGCCATTCATAGGAGGCTGCTTTTGTGATTTTCTCATTACCGGAGTGGTAAGACACGATTCTAGAAGTCGAGAATCGTGCTTTCAGACCGGAAGACGATCTTCTTATTTCATCCTTTCCGCGCGTAATACCTTATAAATCGGTTGGCGTACGAGGAATTAAAGTTTTATCTGATAGAAAATGAGCGAAGCGGACCAACTCGATAAAATTCGTGTCTTTTAGTTAATTTGACAATTTATGAAATGCAGAAAAAGATAATTGATTGATTATCGGAAGAGTCGGCGACTCACGGTACTTTAACGATTCTTGTCACATATTCATTAGTTCGATCAACTTTTTATACTTAAATCGGATATAGATAAAATAATTCTCTGTGTTCGAACGTTCCAGCAGTTTGTTCGAACCCGTTAATTACGATTATCCGCTCGTAATCATCAGTTTCAGTTTCGAGCAGAAAATGCAAATTGCTCCCGCGAATGGCATTGTTCGCGATCCGGTTCCCAACTAAATTAGAATCACAGTGTATTCGAAACTTGCTGGCCGAGTTACGATGACTGCATTATAGTTCCGATGTATGCATGTTAACGTAGGCCAGAATCGGAGGAAGATTAATGGAAGGATGCGTTAGGATTCATTAAGCTACTAATTAAGCGAACCTTCCTCTCGCGAGTTAATGAAGATTTATTTTTTCTATCCGGCAACTTTGTATTTTTATATCAATCCGAATACGTGTCTCATTTACCTTGAAAAATTAAGATAAATAACTTAATTCAATTATAATTTCAATTTTACCTTCTTAAAAAGTTTTTAAAAAAAAAATGTTAGTATTTTAAATGATTCTAATTACACAATAGTATGCCTTCATTTTCATTACGTCAGTGAACGTGTTAAAGTTTAAAGTACGGTATAGTGAGAGGATTAATTGTTTGTTGAATGAAAGCAGACGTTAATTCGCAAGGTTAATAATTAAGGGTTAATATTAAACCTTCGTCCCGAACAATTCCGCTAGCTGGCAAAAACGACAGGACGAGCGATCTCTGCCAATTTACTTTGGCCCCGTTGGCGTTGCTGTTGCCGGAACACCGAGGGTGTTCATCCCCATTGTTACTCGGGCAGAGTAGACGTTGCCAGTGGAGAGGAAGGGGTTGGTAGAAAAGTCGGCTGCCTTTGTGAAGGGAAAAGGGGGCCAAGCTATGGCTGCTTCCGCGGTTGTTTACGGACCTGTCCATCACCCGCCACCAATTAGTATTGTAACTGGCAGACGTTTCTATGACGCGGCTTATTTCGTCGTGCGTGGGGAAAACAATGAGAATGCTGCAGCGTAAGGATCGGGGAGGGTGGTTTTCAATTGTCTGCATCCACACAGGTGCTTCGATACAGAACGAATTTATACGAAGACGATGACTGAAGATTTACCTTTGGGCAAATTATAATCACAATTAAAATGAAGTGTTCGAAATGAAGTTAGCATAATTTACCGTTGAAAATATTTTTTCACCAATCTCCCTCCCTTTAACCCTCGGAGTACGGTCCGTCGGGGGCCGCTAACGGGGTCTCTCGTGACTCACACCGAGACGTGTCTCCGGAGACCCCGTTCCCGTACTGCGAGGGTTAATTTCATCCATTTTCACCTGAATTCGTCGATCCATTCCCTTAAGAGCTTCTCTGAAACAACGCATTCCCTATAAACCTTTCTACGCTGTATTTTCTGTGGGGGGTGTTGGAGGGAAAAAAAAGAATCGTTCCTCCCCATTAAAACGTCGTGCACCTTAAAATAACAACGGTAGTTCACTTAGCCACCTAAGTGTGTATCGATACACACGCTCCTGAAAGACACACCTTACCCCATCCCTGGGAACAGTTACAAAAATGATAAAATAATTTTATGATGACTATTGAATAGTCATTGACTGACTTAGAAATTCGGGGTTGAATTGTCAAAGGATCATCGAATGTGGGGGTGAGAAGTAACCTTGGCAAACTATGACCATTATTTTCTTAACATCCTGTACACTTAAGGTGATCGTACACTAATGCATGTACACTTAAGTTGGCCACGTAGAAGCTCCGGTAACTACATCTGCTTATAGAAGCTCCCGACAGTTTCTTCTCACCCCTGCCAACCCCCTCCACGACCGTCATTATCATCCATTTGCTAATACAACAAGATAAATTGCCCTTCCTACGTTGCAACGTAACACCCTACCTGGCAAGTTTTCTCCTTCACTCGGCTACCCCTTTCTAAAGGGAGAGGGTGGAACTCGGGGGGAGTTGGTTCGCTCGGTCGAGGGTGGAAGCACCACTTTCGCCGGATTTCTGCCGGTTTTCTTTTCTTTGTTAGCTGAATTGCGTGTGGTAGAAGCGAGTTCTAAGTTTGAAAAGAAATTTTTATTTGTATCTTTTTTTCTCTTAGTTAGGGCACGAAGAGGGGTTGGATTTGTTGAATACAGTTTCTTTTCTAGTTTAAATGTTGACCATTGAAAATTCGGGTTGTTTCGTTTCGTTTCGATGGCCATTTACATACACGTTTTACCATTCTTCGTAAACACCGACCATCGAAGGACAACACGATCTTATCAAGTAGGGGTGGCTCGATAACAACCCGAAGAAGGGGCGGAAAAGAGAACAGCGATCGTCCAAGTTGCGTGACCAGCCTTGATGAAGTCCCATCGATCCGTTTTCAAGCATTTACCTACGCGTTCGTGTCTACTGGGATTCTTCATCTTTTTTTTCATCTGTCCTTTCATCCCCTCGACTCTATTATCAGGTTGTTAAGGTTCGCGGTGTAAAACAGCTTCTGATAATTGTTTATTCAGTTCACGTTTGTTCCAGTTTCTTTTTCAAGGTTTTGCGGGTGGTTGTAAGTAGTAATGGTCGACGCATTGTCAGACGCCGGAAATTAATCCGGGGAAACACGTTCGCGTGGGAGGGATCCTTGTTTCTGGAAATGAATGTAGTACTATCAGTTTTGCAAAACCTTTTCTTGATTTGCCTTAAGAAACAACGATGTTAATTTTGTTATCACTTTCTGTTAAATAAGAAATAATTAGGTTTGGTTAATTGCACTTGATGCTGATTATTTTCAGTGCCTTCTTTGTTTAAAAAACATTCTTATTTTTGCATATGAAAGCACTTAGATTTATTTCTAGACTGATAAACGTGAAAGATGATAAATCCTAGAATGGCGGACCATGGAGAGAGCCTACTTTAGATTAGATTAGACCAGGCTCCGCTGTTCAAGGGTTAAATTGTTCAAATACAATCTACTAAATATTTCTAACTTTTTCATTTTCTATTTTGCAGGTGAGTGTCCCGGAATTCCAGTACGCTCGAGGGACAGGCGCGTCCCTGACGATGGTAAGCCATAAAGCAATGTAGCTCGCGTTTCATCCCCGGCGTACGACCAGCTTCAGCACCGCGTGGCCCCATTCCCGCTTCCCATCCCCCTATCCAACCGCCCTGGTCTCGGCTAATACCCCGAGACATCCTTCTTAATTAACGTCTCGCGATATATATATATTCCGTTCGTTTGCGCGATTAAGCGACTTCCCGGTCGACGATCCCTCTCGTTGACGACGCGGAAACGCCTTAAACGTCCTTTGAGAAACCAAGCTTTCGTGGCTTGACCGAGTCCTTGTAATTGACAGCCCTGTACCAGCAATTTTAACACGCTTCTGTCGTTGCATTTTCATGCTGAAAATTTTCAGAAAATATCGAATCACCTTTGAAGAGATAGAGGGGTGTATTTCAAACACAAGACATTTATCTATCCTTTCAACAACAACAAATCAAGTCTCGTTTTACAGTTACCCTCTTGCGCTCCTTTCTACCCTTGCCCGTCTAAAATAAGACGCGTCCCGGGAGGGGCGGAGACGAATGTGTTTGTATATCATCAGGGTGGCCGCTAAGGGGTGCAACTCGCGAAAAATCGCTCCGGGCCACTGGGGTAAAACGTGACATCCTCGTTGACGTTGAATCATTGTTTCAAAAATGCTGTTGCTAAGGGTGCACGGTTTCTTCGGGTGCACAAATGCATTTCATTCAAAATAATTATACATAAAAAAATTTATAATTAAGCCTTCATCCCTTGCACGAGGTTCTAACGACCCCCATTCGTTTCGTCGAACGGAACTCCACCTCCTCTTCGAAGAGTACGAATTTCCAGGAGATCTTTGGGATCTCCTGTTCCTCGCGCCAGGATATCGCGTTATACGTCACATGATAGATTACTATCAGTCGGGGGATGTTGAGCCGCGAATACGTCACTCCGTCGCGAAAATAGATTTCTCGCGCGATTCGTGGCACGGAAATTCCATTCGTCGTCGGCTGAACTTCGAGGCACACGGAAACGGCGATACAAGGGGCGGGGGGAGAGGAAGGGAGGAAAATGTGCTCGAGGGATTTCGAAGCTAGGAATCCTCCGCTCCTCGCGAGGGTCAATTATTGGCAGGCTGCCTAAAGCGTCGGAAAATGAAAAGATATCGCTGCTCGTGGGCTTACCGACCAACCCAGATCGCTTCGATATTGATTTTCTTAGCGTTGTTTGTTCCCCTCTGATACTGTCTGCCGGATGAATTTCGTTTTCCCCGAACTTACCATTGTTTCGCTTTATAAATTCAAAATCATTGAATCCCTGGATTTACAATCCGAGGATTTCAATTTTTTCAGATTAAAATTCCAAGATCTATTAAAATAACAAAAGGTTCTCGATTTCTCAAATTTCATTTAAATCATCTCGTCACCTTTCGATTTTATGAAAGCTTTCCGTTGTTCATCGACAGAAATAATACCGAAAAATTAATTTATAGTTTCCTATATTAGAAATTTCTCAGGAAAATAGATTTGAAAATTCTGAGAAAGCTTCGTGAAAAAAATAAAAAAAATGTCGAACAAATTCTTCCTTTTAAGCGACTCCGTCACACCTTTTCATCCCCGCCAAAGAAGCTTTTCGTTTGCTCTTCGATGAAAAATACGAGCTGTAGTATGTCGGACGGGATCGAGGGTATTCAATGTACACGGAAATGAGCGTGCACTTTCGCGGGTTTCAGCTTCAAAGGATCCTCTCTCGTCTTTTCTTCCGGCCCGAACTTTCGGCTCCTACCAAAGACACCGGCATTTTTCACCTTATACAGTTTCGAGAGAAAAAAGAAAGGAACTCCCCGGCGAGCTTCTGTCGTTTCGTCGACCTGCGTCGAGAGATTAATCATCCAACGAAGCGGGGGGAGGGTAATTAATCGTACACTGATCAGGGATGAGAATCTTAAGAATGTTCATTCGTTCTTCGAATTAAAATACAAGACTGGATGAATTGAAATTAAATTTTATAGTGATCTCTTTTTTTTTTCAAAATATTTTTAGAAGCATAAATGTTATTTTTTGGTATGGTCTTAAATGATGATTCAAAGAGCGAGAGACTGCACGAGACACCGTTGGGACGGTCTTAAAGTGCCTCGGAAAGGAGAAAAATGGTGGCACGGGACACACGCGAAAATCCAACCCTATTTCGCTTTCAATTTGTACCTCGTCAAAGGGGCGTAAACAATTTCCAGAATGAAACTCGTATACGTCTTGCGAAAGGCTTTCTTCGAGACGTGTACAAAGGATTCGTGAGTTCTGTGATTTTTCAGAGATAAACTAACTTCCAATGTAAATTCGAAACAGGAAATTTTAATACCGTTAAAATTATCAAATCGACAATTGTTAGACGATAAAGTATCTTAATACCCGAAGAATCGTTGGAAGTGCACAAAGAAAGAAAACAGCAGGCAGAGTCGAAATCCAAGAGGGGGGGGAGGAGGGAGGTCGGCTTATCCCCTTTTCCAGGCGATTTACGTGCGAAGTTCACGTGGAAGGAAGAGAATCGTTTATCACCTGACGAGCTAATAGATAACACGGTGGTTACGTGTTCGAGGTTCGATCGGTGCCAAACCTCTCCCAGAATCCACTTTATCGGTCTCGATCGACCGGCAGCTGCGGCCTCCAGGCTCTGGCAATTCCGTCTCGACTTCGAACTTCCGGCGAATGCTCGGTCTGCCGGAAGTGCGTAACTCTTTACGGACGACGTGACCCTTAACCGAACCACTGATCCTCGCGATAATCCCTGGAACAATTCACGAATCTTCCAAACTTAGAAAATCTTGTACGTTCGATATTATCACAGTGATCGTTTATTTCATTTATTTTTTAATTAAAGATTCAGTAATACTCAATGTTTCTATTAGTATTCCCGGTAAATCTACCTTCTTCCAAAATATATGTGGGGGTTATGAGCGGAGCATATGGCGCCCCTATTTCCTCTGATGGCCGCAAGGTGTCGCGCGTGTAGCTCCATCCTTTCTCGCAAGTGCTCCGTCACGGGCCTCGTTGATATATATATACCGCAGTTCACCAGAGTCCGTAACTGCGGCGCGCAGGTTGGAAGGTGGTGGGGGAACGCAGCAAGCTCTCCGCTAATCGCTTTCTACTTCGTTTGGGAGTATCGCCAATCAGGGCGAAGATGCGTACTGGAGATGCGCGAAGAACGAAAACGGGTCTTTTCGCAGTTATGGACTACGGTATACAAGATCCGTGAATATAGAACCCAAGCGTCTGGGGCAGGGACCGTCCGTCAGCTCCACTAAAACGAGTTCTGGTGGATCATATATAAAAATTTAAGTTTCCGACTATCGTAAGAGGAACAACGAGGGCAAAGGAGAGGAAGCAATTGCAGCAAGGCGATATTTCTCGAACAGGACCAGTGTGTCGATCAGGAGGAAAGGGTCCAAAGGGAGTAAGAGGAGCTTCGAGTCCTATTTCATCGGGTTTCCCGATGAGAGTTTGGCTTCTCTAGCTTCTGATGACTCGTGAAACTCCTCGAGACGACCATAAGCCGATATATTTATTGCGAGATACTTCTGAGACCAGCTCCCCCGACGGGGGAGTCGATTTACTAAATAAGACCGGAAGTGGATTGCCTGTGACATCAGCGTCAAACTTCTTCTACCTTTGAGGTAGGATTTCAAAGGGATTTGTTTTTCTCTTTTACCTTCCTGATCAACGATCGACTCGGAGACGATGATAAGAAGTTGGTACGTTAAAAAATTGTAGGCCCTTCTTGATTTAATTAGAAAAATTGAAAGGAAACAGCGGAATACATTAACTCGTTACGATGAAGGCTGAAAGAAATCCATAATTTCCCGGAAATTTCTTGAATAGAAACAGGTCGACGTGTTTTTCAGAGAAATTCTAAGCGGCTACAATCGTATCGGCGCGTTTGAGTGCGTTACAAGCGTCTCGTTTCACCCCCTTTTCACCGGCAAACCCCCCACCATCCCTCCTCTATGTTGTTCACAAGAGAGAAGCGTTCCAAAAAGATAACCGCGGACACCTCGTTTCCGGTTTCTCGGTCTCTATAGACGCGTCGACACGCAAACGAGGCCAGCCGGCATTATTACAGTCGCTTCCCTCCTTCTGCACAGAGGGTGCAGGGTTGGTTGGCCTGGCTCGTTGAAACTGGCACGGAGAATTCTTTTTCTGCCACTTCGAGACGCTTTCATGCTCTCTGCCAACCGATTTTCTACCGGAAAATGCTTAATCGTGTTGTTTGCTGAATTTTCAAAAGAAATCTTATCAAATGGAGGGTTAATCTTTGGAGAAAATTTTTCAAAAGTGTCTTGGAATTTTTTTTCTCTTCATATTGGCTCAAGTGGATTAAGGAAGATGATGATGGTTGATTTAAAAACGGGGTTAATTGGCGAAAAATATTTTGCTAAAGAGATTTTTATTTATTTATATTTTCTTAAGTATGCGGAATTGGGGCGAATGAAAAATTGAAGTCACGTGAAAGGGGATGAAGAATCGATGGGTCAAGGGATGAAGCTGAGAAACTTACACGCGCGAGTGGGAATTAACGCACGGCTCGTCGACGCGAGGGTTGAAAACGCGTCGTCCAGCAAATATTAATGCGCTCATTAGCCCCGCTTCGTATTCATGCTATGAAAATTCATCGTTTATTATGTAACGATCGCCAACGGCCCTCCTCGCCCTCGATAAAATCGCGATTAACGATTAATGACCAGCGATGAACGATTTTCGATCACCCCTGTCCTCTTCACTTTAATCGTCGATTTTAATTTAATGGGTCGATGGGTCCTGTAAATGTTATTGTTTATCCTGATCAGTTCCTTTTAAGAAAAAGAATTATCCATTTTGTGCTATCAGTTTTATAACATTTTTATCGTATTTTATAGTACTTTTTTTTTTAGAAATCAAAATTTATAAGAGAATAAGAAATAGGGGATGATTTTTTCGCGATTGAAAGCAACCCTTAAATTTCGATCTCAGCAGAGAAAAATGAATTTTTTCCACGAAATCTCACT